TATAATTTGTTGATATTACCCTGCAGCTGCGTTGTGAAGTGTTTCTTTATTTTGGAGTGAGATTGTCTAACAATTTATTACAGTATACTTTAGAGTTCTTTGGTATAATTTGTTGATATTACCCTGCAGCTGTGTTCTTCAATGCACAGATGAATCATGGTCAATATCTAGCACAGAATTCCATTCAAACAAGTGAAAGGGACCATCTTGAAATTGCACTGAGCTGTGAACTCCAAGTGGAAGGCCTTACTGTGATTTTGACAAGAAAAACAGCAATCAAAATCAAAACAAATCAAATTTGTTTAAAGTCAGTAAAAAGCATACAATACAGTAAAACATAAGCTCTTTAGATCTTTTAAAACTGATGTAATAAAATAAGAGCACTGTTCTTTTTGCTTTTGGTTTTGAAAAGTGCATGTTGTGATTTTGTGTCATTAATTTATACTTTATGTCCATTTTCCCAATTTTACATACATATTGTGTACATGTACATTAACAATACATGTAATGATTCTGGAATGTGAAGTGAAACATTTTACGTTCAAGGAAATGTGTAAGATATTTTTCTCAGTTTTATCAAATTTGTATATGTAGGTATAATAGCATTGTTTTGGTGTATGGATGGTAGAAAAAAATTAATATCTTTTACTCTTTTTATCATAATTAAATCATTTACTACTTTTAGAATTGCTTAAAAATGCAAAAAGTATGAAGTAATATAGTGCAAAGAAAAAGCATATATGATATTATGATGGACTAGTATTTATAGTTCCTGACAATTTACACACAAATCTTTATAAAATTAACAAGCATTAAATTCTACTTCAAGAGGCATCATTAATGTTTCTAAACCTGTATGAACATGCTTTTACATGGATAAGAATGAGTTGTTCTTGTGTTCATAAAATTCTATTTTTTTATTTCCAAACAACAGAATTGCAAAATTGCATACTCTTAATTAAGGCAGAATGTCCATCTCTCTGTCTGAAATACCCTTGTGATTGTTCACAAATCCATACAAGCGTTTTTTCTTTTAAAAATTTTAACTACTGGTAAATGTAACAAAAACTATTGCGGTCGTATATTGGTATGACATTGGTTTTCGCACTCTAACTTTAGTTTAAGTGAATGGATCTCTATGAAATTTTACCATAAGGTTCAATACCACAAAAGGAAGGTGGGGTTTGATTTTGGGGGCTTGGGTACCAACAGTTAAGGAAGAAGGGGCCAAAAAGGGGCCAAAAATAAGCATTTTTGTAACTTCCAGACATAACTTGTGTGTAAGTGTATGGATCTCTCTGACATTGTACCACAAGGTTCCATATCACAAAGGGAATGCTGGGATTGATTTTGGGGGTAATTGCCTCCAAATTTTAGGAATTAGGGGCCAAAAAGGGGCAAAAAACAAGCATTTTTCTAGTTTCAGGACAATAACTTGTGTGTAAGTGTATGGATCTTTATGAAATTGTACTATAAGGTTCCATATCACAAAGGGAAAGCTGGAATTGAGTTTGGGGGTAATTGCCCAAAACGTTTAGGAATAAGGGGCCAAAAATAAGCATTTTTCTAGTTTCCAGACAATAACTTGTGTTCAAGTGTATGGATCTCTCTGAAATTGTACTGCAAGGTACCATACCACAAAGGGAAGACTGGGATTGATTTTAAGGGAATTGCCTCAAAATTTTAGGAATTAGGGGCCATAAAGGGGCAAAAAAACAAGCATTTTTCTAGTTTCAGGACAATAACTTGTGTGTAAGTGTATTGATCTTTATGAAATTGTACTACAAGGTTCCATATCACAAAGGGAAAGCTGGGTTTGAGTTTGAGGTTAATTGCCCTAAACGTTTAGGAATTTGGGGCCAAAAAGGGGCCAAAAAACAAGCATTTTTCTAGTTTCCAGACAATAACTTGTGTTCAAGTGTATGGATCTCTCTGAAATTGTACTGCAAGGTACCATACAACAAAGGGAAGGCTGGGATTGAGTTTGGGGGTGATGAATCATAAGGGGGTTCAAAAAATTTGGGGGGGGGGATTTTTTTTTCATTTTTTTTCTTTAAAATTTTCCATTTTAAATTGGTTATTTCTGATTTATGTATAAAAGCAAATAATAATGATATGGTTTGAATAGGTAAATTAAAAATTTTTAAGTTCTAAGACCACATTCATTCTGTGTGAGAAACCTATGCTGTGTCAAATATTTAATTACAATCCAAATTCAGTGCTGTATCAAGCTTGAATTTTGTGTCCATACTTGCCCCAACTGTTCAGAGTTTGACCTCTGCGGTCGTATCAAGCTGCGCCCCAGCGGAGCATTTTATTTTATATGTAACAATGTTGGTACAAAAATTATTTTCCCCGACACTCTCCTATTGATTAAGATATATAAAAAAAGATTTTCTCGTGGCTGGTCTACGTATATAGTCGAGATACATATGATGAAGACATAATCTTTCGATCAGTAAATGCCAGTAGTCCTTTGTTAATTTATGTTGATCATTGACATTTTGCTAAATTTCTTCTGTTACATTCAAACATTGGACTTGGACTTCTTTTAAACTGAGTTTTACTGTGCATATTGCTGTATGTTTGTTTGTTCTACATTTGCTATAGGTATATAGGGAGGGTTGAGATCTCACAAAACATGTTTAATTCCTCCACATGTATGCACCTGTCCCAAGTTGGGAACCTCTAGCCTTTGTTAGTCTTGTGTGTTTTTTAATTTTGGTTCATTTATATGTTTCAGAGTTTAGTGTGGCGTCCATTTCGTTGAACTAGTTTACGTCATTATTTAGGGACCAGCTGAAGTCCCCCTCCGTGTGTGTGATTTTCTTTCTGCGTTGAAGACCCATTGGTGGCATTGGGCTGTTTTCTGCTCTTTGGTCAGGTTGCTGTCTCTTTAACACATTGTCCTTTTCCATTCTCAATTCTAGAACAAATACGTACACAAAATTAATTACTTCTGGGTTTAATTGCATAAGTTTGTAAAATGAAAAACTTTTGAATCGAGGCGTCTGATCTCAGGATGACATATATACAAGGTTAAAATGAAGTAATTATTTACAAAGTTGACATGGTAGCTATTTTGGGGTTCTGCCTTTTCACTATTAAAACTCTGTCGAGAAAACTGTCTAGTTCTGATTTTTCAACACCTTTTGTGTGTGAATAAAACTGCAAAACACATATGATGCTGCAGTTTTTTTTATTGGAAAATGGAATTTTTTAAGGGTACTCTGTAGTTCCAAAATGATCAAAGTTGTATGAATGAAGAACACCAGTTGCTTAATTTTGCACATAAAATTTTGCTCATCACATAGAGTATCCTCCAAATTTCTCACTATTTCTCTACACCAATAGCCGACATTCATTTCTCACTATTTCAATTTACTTTTCTAATTAACAGGGCAGCAGAAAATAAATTTACTTCTAGCTATTATCTTGGATGTAAAAACTAGGTTGCATGTCTGTCATCTTTATTTACTTCCATTGATCCAGAAGACTTAAACTGATAGTACCATTTTACAAATATTGCAACACATCCCCCAACTATATATATAATAGTATAGTCCAAAGGTTAACCCTTAGATATAAATAGACTGGACAGGGAAGGAAAGATATAAGGAAATAAAAGCTTTAATTAAAAGTGGTGCTTGTGAAACTTTAAATTATAGGCCAATAAAACTGATTTATAAATTTCACAAGCTTATTTAATACATACCAGGTCTGTAATATAATTGAATGATTAATAAGACGGATTTTCTTGGTTGCCATACATCAGTCAGGGTGCAACTGTAAACAGATTTTTTTTAATGATAACCTTTTCCGGTTACAAGGAAAAATTAACATTTGAAGTTTTTTTTTAAACTAGATGTTTTCAGTTGAAATCATGTAATTGTATATGTAGAGAATTGGAAAAAAAACATCGAAATTAGATATTAAAAATATCACGAAGTACATTTCAGTTATAAATTCAGTACAAGTAGTTATAGGTAGTCGGGCTACAGAAAGCAAAGACATAATTCACTAAAACAATTTATATGATATTTCATATCTGACACAAACATTTTACTTTTTTTGAATTACTGTATAAAAGATTCTTCTTTATAGACATTTAAAATGAAAACAAATTTACTGTTGGAGAGGCCTATTTGTTTATCTCAATAGTCCTATATCATTTACAGATATTCATATTTCATTATGAGGGCAATTTTTTAGAAATTTCTCTTTTAATGCTGTGTTCTTCTGCCATGTCTTGATTTCAGTAAAATTAATGGAATATAAATTGAATGAAAAATGAGTGAAATTACGCAAAGAAAGGTAATTATATATTAGAAACAATTTATGCTAGAGTGAAAACTTCAAATGGTTAAAATATCATTGATAAACAAATATTTCCTGAATTTGTGAAGATCAAGGATAGCAAATAAAAAAAATGACATAAATTAATTTAGGGTGAACAGTTATTATACATGTACATTAACAATGTTGTATATCACAAGTTGTATGTAGACCATATTTGATAGTATATTTTCCATATTCAAATTCCAAGAGTACTGTAGATTCAGAAATTATTGCGATTTTGACATGACAACCAAAATTTTAGATTAATTTTTGCGATTACAAGAGAGGCTACATAGAGATATGTGTATCAGATATCAGAATGTGAGTTCTTATTATTGCGATACTCTCCTAGTCAAATTATTCGCATTAAAAAAATCTTCTGAAATACAGTATGTTGGTGATGAAATGAAATAAATGAAAAACCGCTGGAACTGAAAGGGACTTATCACTTACATTTTGTCTCCTTGATGCTACTGTAGTTTTAATGAAAATAGCCATTGCTACCACCATCACATATGTAAGTAAATCAGGCAGTTGAATACAGGATTTCTTTCACAGAGAAATCAAGGTATTTCACTGATACTAATATCTTATTATTTGACATTATAGCTAAACTGTATATTTTTATAAGGTTATAAATTGACTTATATTTTAATTTTTAGGCTAAAAGAGCTAAATATGTAGCCAAGTTTGATTTTACTGGTAAAGACCCTGAAGATTTACCATTTAAAAAAGGTGATGTGTTAGAACTTATTTCTAAAGATGAAAAAGAATGGTGGACTTGTCGTAACAGTCATGGTGATGTAGGACAAATACCTGTTCCTTATGTAACTAAGGTTAGTATACAAACTAAAATTACAGTAACAGTACTAGAGGAAAAGTTGTACTAAGATTTGTTTACCCAGCTATGAAGGAAGGTGGAAGAGCCAAAATGGGGTTGTCAGGGCATTCTGCTCATTTTAAAGGACCAGAGGAATACTAAATTGGAAGGGGTTGGTTATGGGGTTTTACTTTTATACTTTCAAACTTGACTACATAGTAACCTGGAAATTAAAGCAAATAGACCAGCAATTCTGCATGTTGCCTGGCAGTTATAGAATGTCCTGGGTGAATCTTTCATTACTGGTGAGCGGATATAAGGTTAACAACTGTTCTATACACAAGTAATGAGAATGGAGGAGTTAGGGGACACATAGATGTTGTCACGGTGATGAAGAATGTATACTTGTACCTTTGCTGCAACACAATTTACAACTCATATATATTTAAATTTCCAACCTGTCTGCCAATCAGAAATATATATGATCTGGAAACGCCAGCGTATAAAAATTGACAGAAATAATGTACACTTAATATTGATATATAAAAATTGAGGACCACTCACTTAATAAAGCTTATATGAAGTACTTATCCTGTATAAATGATGTCTATTTCTCTTGAATCTATTTATTTCATAAGTTATTTATCCAGGAAAAAGATTATGAATGCATATGTTCTCTTTAGTTGGAAAAATTACCCATAACCATGTAATACTTCAAAGAATTTAATTTGTTTCTTAGTCTTCAGAGTGGTTTCTAAGAACCAGGATACTTAAATCATTCTTTTGTAACCTGTTCCATTATATGATCAAGGTTTACTATTAATGACAGTTTTTTCTCTCAGTGGGTAGTAAACTTAGACAATTTAGATTTCATGTTCAACTTAACAAACATGCATACTAACTTCATTGTTTAGCATTGTGTACCGGTGGAATCTTGAATCTTTGGTTAAAGTGTTATGTGCTCAATGCCATTCAATTGAAAAAGTAAACAAAATTTATGTGCTCAATGCCATTCATTTGAAAAAGTAAACAAAATTTATGTGCTCAATGCCATTCATTTGAAAAAGTAAACAAAATTTATGTGCTCAATGCCATTCAATTGAAAAAGTAAACAAAATTTATGTGATGATTTATTTATGAAATAAACCACTGATTATAGCTTATAGGGCAAGTATGACTAATACTGGAAAGCATATTAAGCCTACAAATTTCATAACAGTGCGATTGAAAAAAGATTTACTCATTTGTCTTATTATATTTAGGAACATACTTCAGTCGTATTTCAGAAGGTAAAATACAAAAATGTATGTTTTTTTAATTAAGCAGGCTTAAGCTACATAGTGCTAATGACAATAAGGAAATTGAGATAAATATTTGCAATCTTTTGGTAGACACTAACTAACCAGTCTATTTTATTTTGCATTTCTGCAGCTTACTTTCATGCTTGAATTGATCAAAATTAAAAATATGCATGTCAAAACTTGCTGTATAACTACTTGACAAGAATTTCTAATTAAATAGCTGAGATGCTTTGATTAAAAATTTATGTCCTTAACAAAGTTTTGGTAAGCTATAATCTATTAAAACTCAACTGGTCTTACTGCTACAGTTTCCTTTGCAGAAAGGGTACTCATTTATTTAGGGCATTTTGGCCTACCCGTTCATGATAAATAAAAAATAAGACCTACAAGGACTGCTTCTTCTTTCCAATGATGGTACTTCTCTGTCATCATCATCTTATGTTAAGTTCTCAGATATATGGAATAAGGATTTATGGTATATATATCATTGATATTTGCCAGCAGCTTTTTAGCATCATGGTAATTTGATGTCAATATTGCTTGAGTATGATTCTATCTTATATTATTTTCTTATGGATGGTGTTATGAATGTGATCCTTTAATTGTAGAAACAAGATGGTATTTCAAAATCCTTGTTTACAAGGATGTAAAATGAAATTTGTGAAGATATTCGGAATACAGTTGCATTGGCCTAGCTGTAGTCCATGCCATATTTGAGATAAATGGACTTAGGTTCAAAAGGATTCTCCAGTCAAAATTAGAATTTTTGTTTCTTCTTAAATCTCATGGAGATTTGAGATTTTTTTCAGTTCTTCATTTTATAGTTTCAGCTACTGGTATAAAATGGTTGAAAGGTGTCCCTCCCTCTCTCTGAAATTGACATGTATACTTTTACCTTTTTTTTGATGACGTAAAGTTGTAGTATTACACTTATCACCATATCCTTGAATTCACTATTATATTTTTATTGTCTTTTTTCCAGTTTGATCCTAACAACCCTCCAATACCTAGTCAGCGACCAATATCAGAGCCTCCAGGTTATATAGATCCTCAAAAACCATCCATCAAAGATGTAAGTTATTTCTTGTTATATGCAATCTTTTAGTGATATTTTCTGCTTTATTTTATGATTTAAGATCAGGTGTATTCAGAAGATAACTTGTCAATATTTTAATGGTATCAAGTTCAGCTGTATTTATTTAAGATTTGCAGTTAACGACCTTTCAATTTCAAAGCCTTTCACATTTCGCATTCAATCTTTTATAAAAACACCGTTTTTTATACTTATTTTGTTAAATAAGAGGTCTAATTTCTGTTATTTTGCATATATTACATTTGTATTTACGGAAACACTATTCTTTAGTAAAGAAAAAACAAAACAAAATAATTGTTATACTTTGGTTATTTTAGAAAGAAGAAATTTAGATTGATAAGTTGGTTTTAGGAGAAAATCGGAAAAATTGAATTGTCTTTTCTTTTGATAATATTTCGCAAAATTGGACAAAACTGGTTTATTATCAGGTATTTCCAGAACAATTCATGGAAGAATTAAATTGATGTGGCCCAAAAATTAGAATTATAAATATATTTTTAATTTTCTTTACAGATAACTTTACCCGCTAGAGCTCTTGTGATTCAACAAAGAATACCAAATTTATATGATAAAACACAATTAAAACTTGAGGTAAGAATACAGAAAAAAATTTTATGAGAAAACACAATTAAATCAGAAAGTAAGGATAACACAATTCATACTGGTTACTGGATCAGAAATAATATTCATGAAAATGTGATCTTCTTATTGTATAGTATAAAACAGATTACTGTCTTGTATCTGTAGATTATATCAATGTTCATAGTGTTTAATGTAAAATTAATAATTCATGCTGTATTAAAGTCCTTAAGAAACAAGCAAACCACTTGCAAAAGAACAGTTTCTGTTACAACTAATCTTTTCCTATGACCAAAAAAATACAAGTCTTTAATAGAAATTTTTTTTAATGGTCTGGGGTGTATGGGGGTAACATGCTTGGAACATTTAAAGTTATATTTGTATAATAAAAAAAAAGATTTTCAGAGATGATAAATAATATGTCCAATTTTGATTTTGACCAAAATAAATTCTATTAAAAAAAAGACAATGAATTGATTCAAATTTAAAAATAAAAAAAAAATTGTCAAAGACGAAGGTGGATCCCCTTGTATTTAGATTTTGGATTTTGGGCCCTGTTTTTAAATTGGTCCTCATTGACATTGAGTCAAAAAGTGAATTCTTTGGGTTCTTTGATATGCTGAATCTAACCATGGTTTAAGATTTTGGATAAAGGACCATAATAGGTAAATGTCAAATTTCGATTTTTTTTAAGACCAGATTTATTCTGTGTAAGAAACCTATGCTTTGTCAAATATTTAATCACAATCCAAATTCAGAGCTGTATCAAGCTTGCATGTTATGTTCATACCTGCCCCAACTGTTCAGGGTTCGACCTCTGCCGTTGTATCAAGCTGCCCCCTGTGGAACATTTAATTTTTATGGCCATCACCCATACAATTGCATTTTACTTTGCATACATAACCACACAATTTGTACTTCGTGACCTACCTCCACCTATACAAAAATAAAGTGCCTTCAATATCAGTGTTTAAATATTTCGGATAGATTTATGGTAATTGGCTTGCACGGAAACTAAAATGGAGGGCAAAATTCAGCATTTCTGCGAATTAACATATTCTTTACCGAAATTTTATATTGTATTGATATATGTCTTTTCAGAAAGGAGATATAGTACTTGTGACTAAAATGAATTCCAATGGCCAGTGGGAGGGAGAAATCAATGGAAGAAAAGGGGTTTTCCCTTTTACACATGTACGATTTACGGACAATGAAAATAGTACTAGCTAGTAGATAATATATGTAACTATGATTTGTTTTAAAATCTATCTTTTATCAGAAACCAAACTTGTTATGATGGATTTGTCTACAGTAACCAAAAAAACTTACAATTATTGACTGTTATGTATTGCAAGACATTTACAGAGTGAGTGGTTTTAAAGGAAATGTGTATTTTGTATTTGAGAGTATTTTTAGATGTCTGTTTTTCATATTTATTTCCTAGGGTTTAAGCAATTTAGAATATTTAATATAATTGTTTTTTGATATATATAACATGTCAGATTGTTTAAGAACATTGTCAGTAACTGTTTTCATTAAAACCATTTATTATGCTATACTCAAGTTATTTCAATTGGGTAATTTACATAAAAAGAGAAGACAAAATGCATCAATATACTATTGTCATAAGGTTTGTTCATAAAATCACTTGTAGGTTGAACATCATACATGTATATATTAGATATTCATATGTGGCAGAACTGGACAGTGAAGCAAATTTTAATGTCAATTCTTAAACTTAAATTTACAAATTTTTTTTCTTTAGAGTATGTCTCAGATCATGATTATTAATTGTCTGAATGATGCTTTTTTGCCTGCTACAACATTTTTCTATTCTTAAAGAAGATCTGGCAGCCTGCCCCAGTTTTTTCACCGTTGTAAATATCAGACATGTATATTGAATACCATACATGTAAATGAATCATTTTAATGTCTATTATCTAAGGATTTTTTCTTTGTGTTTAAATCTAGAAACAGATTGTATGAACTGAGATACTGGGGTAAAATAGTGTTTAAACTTAAATCTCTGCAACTTTTTTTGCAAATGTACTCTGTATTCAAATATCTTTTAAGTCAGTCCTAGATTTCAATTTTTTGTATGATTCTCATTTGCATTTTATAATATGGTTATAAAAGTAATGAAATGATTGACAATCATAAGAAAAGTTTTGAAGTCTTCCATTGATAGTTACAAGTTTATACTCTTTGTTGACATAAGGTACATACATAATGACAAAGTAATAATGGTAATTAATTGCTGCAGAAAGAGAAAGGTCTTTTTATGTGAAAAGTAAAATAACAAAAATACCAAACATGTAAATGAATCATTTTAATGTGAAAGATACTGATATTTTATAAAAGGTGCTTTATTTAATGTTTCACATCAGAATAATCTATTTATATATTTATGTTAGAACAGCTGCAATGTGCTCTTCAAGAAATAGAGGAATAAATGATGATAGTTTATCTTTTAATGTATCAGTTTATACTGCTTAAAGGGACTGCAGAAGCAAGCAGTATGGTATAATTGGGAAGTAGGGTTTTTATAAAAGCTAGAATTATAGCATTTTTATTAAAGTCTCTAATGTAGAAGAACATCAACTTTATTTTCTTCCAAGGTAAAAATAAATGGAAAATACTTTAATTGTATTTATAAAAAATTTTGAACAATAATTAAAGTTTTAAAGCAAGTGTGATGTAAAATAATTAGTGATATAATATATTACAGAGGTGTACTTTTATTGCCAATTATTGTATATACATTTAATATGTGAACTCTACTATAATGTAAATCAAAATCGCTATTGAATTTGCTGCGCTTTAAGCATGTCTGAATGAAATTTTGTCAAGAATTCTTTAAGGCCAATAGTTTTGGAAGGCTTTAGAGTATGCTCAAGGATTTTTTTTGTGATTTGCAAGTAATAGAAAGAATGTAAAGTATATCAGATAATTTGGTCTCTTTTAAATCTTTACCACAAACTGTATTGCAAAGATATAGAAACGAACAATTATAACTGCTTCAATTATTTTAATCTCTCATTAGTTTTTCATAGATTTCATATAATCAGAACAGATCAAACCAATTCTTTGTGTAAGAATGTAAATTTCATGATGACAATATCAAGTGCTCTACACTTTGAACTCTGAGTTTAACCTTTAACCTCGGTATATAAAATCTAATGTGCTGGGAACATGTTTAAATATAAATGAAAATAAAAGGATATATGTGGTATACATCAATTAGACAGCAACCAAACGACACAAATAATTTACAGATGTAAACATACAATCTACAATAATAAACATGTATATCAAGCTCTAAATCAATCAGAGTTTTATAAAGTTGTGAATAAGTTAGACAGAAATGGTCGAAGGTGAAGATATCTCTTTAGTAACAGTCATTATGTTTATAATTTAATTTTTAAAGATGATTTATATAGAACTTGCATCAGGTTACATTAGAGCATGTTTGAACTTTAGTTTGATCCAGCATTTAAGTATAATGCATTTAAAAATACAAACGAATCTTGGAATTGTACAAAGTAGAAATTTGTAAATACTGTACATGTAATTGTATAGCAATACACGTATATATACATATATACATATAAATAATTCAGACTAGTTGATTTTATTTTATTAAGTTTTGAGGTTAAATATTGTAAATGGTATACATATATATATATATATATATATTATTTGTTTAGTTAGATACATTGGCACCGTTGTAAACAAATAGTTTTATAAGTAAAATATACAATTTTGCAATCCCTGCAGTTCAACCTTTTGAACAGATTAATTTTTCACACTTTTATTTTTATCAATTCTGTTATAGAACAACAATATGGAAGAACCATAGAATACATATGAAAGTATATTACAGTCTTAGCGCCTACCCTCAAATGGAATAGCTCTAATGTTTGTCACATTACAAAATAATTAGCTCCTTATTTGAGTTTAAACTGTAGCAAAACATATATAAGTGGTAGATTTTAGTTCTTATATTCACTTTGAAATCCAGATGTAATTGACGAGAGAATTTTTAAATGGGAGCTCATTACACATTTTTTCCTTGTAATTTTTATTTAACAATTTTTAAGTTACAGATGAGTCCACTAAAATTAGGAGAAGCATAATATGTTTTCTTAGTGACAGTTACACATTTTAAGTCACAACCATTTTCTTTTTGTACAAGTGCAGAAGCTTATTTGGGAGCAAGAGATTTTTAGGATTTTTTTTTTATTTGATGTCACTCACAATTTGATTTGAATGATTTTTTTGACAAGTACCGTTAAGTATTGGAAGTCTTTGTACTGACATATTACCTCAAATGGTCAAATGCAGGTGTATTCTAACATAGATATCAGAGCCAGCTTCTTTTCTTGGCAGAGTTCTTTTATCAGAAGTTCCATCATTCTCAAGAAAAACAATGTTGTTGAAAATTATTCTATTTGAAATAAAAGATGTAAATAATAATTATATATTTTTCTAGCTAGTGCTAAGTTGTTAATATCTTTGTTGGATTTAAACCTTTCCCCATTTTTGATTAGTACATATATCTGTTTAAACATTTTTAAATTATTTATTTTCTTGACAAAAGTATTTCTAGATGAACTGAATAAAAAAAAAATCCAACTAACCGCATTTCACCTAGTAAGTCCAGAAAGAAGTAACTTGATTCCAGAAAAATAATTTGAAATATATAATAAGTATATCTGATGAAAGAAATTTTTGAGTAAAACATGTTATAAGGATAGAAACACCATGCTTCAGATTGATCAGTAGTTTAAATATATGGGACAATAATTTTCATTGATTTAATTGGTAAGGGTGAATCATGAATTATAATTTCCTGTGTACTGGAAAATTTTTATTTTTTTTTCTTAAAACACAAAAATTTGTACATAAGTCTTTATTATATAAAGCCATTCTAAAGAAAGGATAACTCTCTTCCAAGGACTTTTGTGTTATACACAGAAGCAGTATTTTTATTAATCAACCCCTCAGTAAGTCATCTCAATAATAAGGCCATAAGTCCTTTGAGTGACCTTATGAGGGATGGGGTGGAGAAATCAAGTTTACCTGAACCAATGGTTTATCACAATACATGCTTCATGAGATATCAGAAAAATGGCTGTTCTTAGTTGTCCTATTGTAAGACTTCTGTAGAATAATGATATATGTAATTACGTTCATTCACTTATAAACAAGAAATATCTTTTTCCTTTCTACCTGTATCAAGCCAATGCCAAAAAACAAGAACCTGTGATGCTTAGAAAATAAAAGCAATCAAAATATTTATGGTTTGTTTTATTCATTGTCATAGAGTTAGATCTCATTCTTTAAGGTCAAGGAACAGTAAATAGGCTATGTCACAGATTTTGGTAAAATTTTCCATACAATATTTGCTCGTTGAACTATAACTGAAAATCGAAAAAAATAATGGATTTCTCTCTTTTATTATCTGAAATATTACTGATTGAATTCTTTCTAAAAAGGTAAACATTTGTATAGAAAAAGATAAAATCAGTGAAAAATGTTCTTAAATTTGTCTTAAAATCATAATATCTCCAATTTCAAATACATAGATTTTTCTTAAAAAACTCTATGCTCTTGATATATAAATTTCTGTCTTAATGATCTAGAATAATCATATGGTCACTGACTTCTGTTACCTAGTTGGTAGTGAAATTTTTGTTTAAAAAAATGACGTGTTATGGCATACAACGCGATGACGTTACGTACCTTAAAAATGAAGTCTGTTACCCTATTATTATTTTACATTTTTAAAACAGAAATTTATGTATCAACAACATACAGTTTTTTAAAAAAAAAATCTTATGTATTTGAAATTGGAGATATGATGATTTTAAGACAAATTTAAGAATGTTTATTGCAGATTTTATGTACTTTCTATACAAATGTTTCCCTATTTCAAAAGAAATCAATCAGTTATACTTCAAATAATAAAGGAGATAAATCCATTTTTTTTTTATCGATTCTCAGAGTGCAACAAGCTAAGGTGTATGCAAAATTTTACCAAAATCTGTGACATAGCCCAATTACTGTAACTTGACCTTAAAGTTAATTAGATCAAAATGCCTGCAGAATAGTCAATATGTGATGGCATGTAACGAAGGCCATTAGTCGAAATGCCACATGTTAAGATAGTCAGCAAGTTAAATTTGTTACACAGTGTACTAGTGACCTAATACGATATATATGGGGTCAGTAAATTCCATATATATTCTTTTAGATCACTAGCAAACTTTAACTAATAGTATAACTCCAATACCCTAGATCGAATTGCAACCATATATGGAAATACATGTATGGTCACAATTAAAGATCCAAGGTTCTGAGGTTACTTCATCTAAGATCAAGGTCATAGCTACTAAAAATAGACTGAAATCTCTATAGAAAAGTGGTTTCTGGATGCTATTTTAAATACTACATATTGGGTTGCAACCCTACTTGGAAATATGGTTACATATAATGATAAGAAGAACTCTTGATTTTTAGTTCACTAAATCCCAAGTCAAGGCCGTAGTTACTAAATATAGACTGAAATTTCAGGATTCTGTAATCAAAAGGTCAGTCAGATAAAACCTGACAGTCTGACATGTACACCCTTAAGTCACCTTAAATCATTCAATAGTTTCTGAGAAATGGACCTAATCATTTTATTTTAACCTTGATCTCTGATCCATAAAATGAGGTCGAGGTCATGTGACCTCTGTCTGACAGACATGTAGACCTTGCAAAGATTCCGTAGACCAAATATTATTATCCTATTACTAATAATAAGTGAATAATTCACATGACAAAAAACTAGTTTTGGGGTGAAAATAGCATGAAATGCAATCAAAACCCTATGATACTGACTTGATATCTATATCTTCCAAGGTTTGTCACTACCTTTGATAGTTCAAACAAAATAGTGCAGTGAAATGTCATTATTGAGATCCTATCCAGTCAATGTCATGCAATTTATTGATGATATGTTATATTAAGTAATGCATTGTGTATGAATCTGTTATAAAAATAGGTTCAACTACAAATGTAGAATTATGAACAAAGGAAGATAACTCCAACTCAAATTTTTAATTTGCCTAGCAACATACAATTTAATGTTTTATTTAAAGATTCACAAAATTGCAAATAATTTAAACTTTACCCTTCAGAGCTCACAATCACACTGATTTCAAGCAGTTGCTGAACAATGAAAAAAGAGATCAAGGACAATGGTCATTTGACAGTCGGAACCACCGTAACATATGACATATATATACAAGGTATGAAGCTTCCAGGTCTTGGTACAAATGTGATTTATTGGGATTTCTGGAAATGCTGCATAAACAGAATTCACACGAGTTGCCATGTGTATTCATCATGTTAATTGGTCGTGTAAATATAGATTTTTATTATTTTAACCTATCTAATTGAAAGGCCCAAAGTGGAAAGCATCGCCAGGAGTAAAAAGCATTTAAAACAACTGTAAACAACTATAATCAAAATGGAAATTTGAAGAAAAACAACCAGATCATCTAATTTGGAGAAAAGAGCAAACTTCATAGCCAACAAAGACAGGAATATGCTGTAGACCGAATGAATGCATATCACCAAATTATGAAAAATCCACCCACAGAACTATTTTATAGAGTAACAGACAGGAATAGATCCAAACCAAGAAAAAAATACATCAGGTACAGAAATAGAAGGAAAATTGGAATATACTAACGATAGGCAAAGAAGATCATTTGCAAAATACTATGAAGACCTGAGTATTCAAAAAGAAGAAAATTATAACAACTCAAATCTGGAACTATGGCAAGTAAGACAACTACTTGTTGAAGAAGTTCTACACAATAAATCACCAAGCACAAAACCTTTCGAAGAACAGGACATCGCTAAAACTATAGACAGCATAAACACTGGAAAATCACCAGATGAGTATACACTCTGTGCTGAGCACATGGAACTTGCCAAAGAAATTATTACACCTACTCTCACAAACATATCTAACAACATCCTTATGAAAAGAAGTTCCTATGGAATTCAAGTCTGGAATTTTGACTCCGGTATTAAAAAAGAAAACAAAAAATGCCTCGTTTCTAGCTATACAGGAATCACATTAACAAAGTAATATCTAAACGTCATGAACTATGTATTCTTGGCAAACTCAGCATTACACCCAACACCCAACACTGACCTACAATTTGGATTGCAAGCGTTATTATGTCAGAATGTAAATGTGATCAGAAAACACATCACTTTATCTCGCTACTGTTGACGTCCAATCCGCCTTAGATGTAGTCCAGCATCGAATACTCCATGATAACCTAATAGATAGGAATATCCACCCAGATCTATGGCTTGTTATTAAAAACCTGTAGTCCTGGCTTATCAACAAAATCGAATGGCAAGAAGAACTTAGTGATAGCTTTACTATACTCCAAGGAATTAGGCAGGGCGAAATCTATCAACTCATCTATACAAGATATTTGTTGAGGACTTGTTAGTAGAGTTTGAGCAAAATTCAATAGGCTTTAGTCTAGGAAATATATCCTGTGGAACCCTACCTGTGCCGATGACATTGCCCTACTAAATACAAATCCACCAGAACTGCAAATAATGCTAAATACTATAGGAACGTATGCAAAACAGCATTATTGCAACATCCATCCAACAAAATCTTAAGTTATTAGCTATGGATCCTCTAAGAACCATAACACAAACACATGGCATTTAACACAGTTCCTCTTACAGAAGCAACAACCACCCATTTAGGACTAAAAAGATCAAGCAAAAAAGAAAATGAAGTAAATATAGAAGACCGTATAAAATCTACACGGAGAACAAAATATGTTCTCTTGAACTCAAGTCTTTACGGTACTAATGGTCTCAGCCCAAAATTCTTTTACACAGTATACAGAACATACGTACTACCAAGACTACTATATGGTTTGGAAATTGTATCCTTAACTAAGACTCAGATTAAGATATTAGAGGGATTTCATATTGATACACTGCGATCAATACAAACTCTGGCTAAGAGAACAGCAAACCCTGCTGTTTATCGGCTACTTGGAGGTCTACATATAGAAGCAGAAATACACAACAGGAAACTAACATTTCTACCATCCCTTACAACATGTACCAGAAAGAAGATTAAAGACATCACTAAAAGACAAATCACAGTAAATTACGATAACAACAAAAGCTTCTTTTACCAAACTGCCTTGCTATTGTCAAAATACAATCTACCAGACATTCTTTAAAAATACTGCTATGCCATCGAAACTTTCCTGGAAAAATACAAGTTAAACTGAAATTTCAATATTCTTGACTTTAAGACTTAAAGATGAAGCTCAACATATGTCATTCTTAAAATTTTAAACATCAATTGTGGTCCTACAACAACTACACACCCTGTTTTGGACTCAGTATGTCAAAACTTAATGGAAGTCCGAAAAGCTACAACGAAAGTAATAATGCTGAAAGGGACATACATGTAGCAGGCTGACAAACATAAGTTCAGCCAATTAAGAATTGATCCATGTTTCCAGTGAAGTGTTTTCTGTCGCAAACTGTTTAATACTATGAAATATTCCTTCCTCTCAGTTCCGAGAGGAGGACAGGTTGTCAGTAGGTGTAAAATGCCCTCTATTTCCCCGTGGCACAGTTGTGCCACGGGGAAATAGAGGGCATTCGACGTAAGAGTTAATGTTAAAATTACGATTCGGTCCCAGTGCATAAAATCCCTCGATCCTTTCAGGGTTGATTTGGCATATATAAATAAAATACAAAAATAAGTAAGCAATGAACGAGGTTGTTAAATGTGATATATGCTTTTTTGTGCTTCTTTGTTAAATATTTGATTGTTTTTGTTGTGATTAAGTGTGACACGGTGTTGACTGCTGTACCCCTATTTTGACATTTTTACCTATTATGTCTGTTTGTTTTATTCACTCATCGTTGTCAATATAATGGAATTTGATGTGACTGTCATAGAAGTGAGAGGTTTAGCGCTATAAAACCAGGTTCAATCCACTATTTTCTACATAAGAAAATGCCTGTACCAAGTCAGGAATATGACAGTTGTTGTCCATTCGTTTGATGTGTTTGTGCTTTTGATTTTGCCATTTGATTAGGGACTTTCCGTTTTGAATTTTCCTCGGAGTTCAGTATTTTTGTGATTTAACTTTTCACTGGAAACATGGAAATGACTGTGTTTAGCAACAAGCTAGCAATTACAAAACTCTTACTGGACTATATATATACAACATAAACTGAA